AATATAGTGCTCCCGCACAATTTAAATTATTAAAAAGATAAGTGCAAATTATTTTTTTATTTTAAATTATATAATATATAGTAAATTTTTTTATTTTCAATTTATTTCATTTATATAGCATAGGATTTAAATTTAAAAATTTTTATTTTTAAACAAGTGTTAGGAGAGCATTTTTCTTTTAAAATAAAACATAATTCAAATTTAAATTAATCAATATCTAATGTAATTTTTAAATATGAAAAAATTAGTATTAAAAAATTTTTATTTTTTAAAAAATTATTAAATAACTTAAATTATTAGCAAGAACAAACCATTAATATTAGAGATGAAGGCCAAATCTTTACTATTAGAAATTGTTCCTCGTCAAATGATTCTTATTATCTTGGAAGTCTATTATAATTCAAGTTGCGAAAAAGGGTCTTAAAAAATTATGTTATGGATTCCGGAATCTAAAAAATGCGCCGTTCAAAGTTGTGGCAAAATCTAAATAAATAAAGGGAAAAAAGCTAAGAAAAACCCTAAAAAATTAGTATGCTTAACGGGTCAACCATTAAGGTCAAAGATTAGCACCATCCAACGGCTCACAGTTAATATCCCGGAAATAAAAAACCTAAAATCCTCTGAGAAAACAAATAAAATAAAAATAAAAAAATAAATCCTCAATTCCTCTGCCCTTTCTCTCTCTAAAAACCTCATGGAACCCAATGAACACTACTTCAACCCCACCCCCACCACCACCAACACCAACGTAACCACCGCCACTGCCCCCTCGCCGACTAATGGGTTGCTCCCGCCGAATGATGGGGCCCACATGCTGTACCCTCACCCCGTGCCCTCAGCGGTGACCTCATCTCTTGAGCCTCAGAGGAGGAAGCGAGGGAGGCCCAGGAAGTATGGGACGCCGGAGCAGGCCTTGGCGGCCAAGAAGACGGCGTCTTCGTCTAGCGCTAAGGAGAGAAGAGAGCAGCAGCAAGCACTGGGTGGTGTTGGAGGCAGCTCTGCTTCAGGTTCGCTTTCTGGGTCTTCAAAGAAATCACAGTTGGCTGCTCTTGGTGGGTTGTGAGAAATTTTCTCTCTTTTTGGTCTGTTTGTGGTAAAATTGTTGAATTTCAGAGGGTTTTGTTGCATTGCGTTAGTTCCCCGTTTATTGATTTTTTGTTTTAGTGTTCAAGTGGTGTGTTTCTTGTGTTTATCTCTAAGAGGCTCTTTCTTTTCGGTGCTTGTGTTTTGAATTTTTCAATTTATGACGGCCTTTTAGTGGATTTGTTTAAATTGGGAGGACTTTTGCATGGGGTTAGCCTGTTTCAGAAATTGTCTTTCTTTACTGTTCTTTCTAGTTCTTGCTCTTGTTGAGTGAGTAAACAATTTTTTCTTTTAAGAGAAGAAAAAGGTCTCTAGCTTTGGGAAGTTTTCTTCTAAAGTTGTGGATTTGTGGTTTCTACTGTGGATTTAAGACAGATTTGTATTGAATTTGTATGGAATTCCCCATTCTACTCTGTTAGAGGAACCAAGGGCAGTGTTAGACTCTTTTAGAGAGGCGATTCTATTTCTGTTTTCAGTGGTTACATTGGTTTATTTTCAATGTTCAAAAGGTTTGGTTTAGGTTAGAAGATGGTATAAGTTACTGTGCAGTTCAATGTTGTATTGATGTCAAAACCAGGCTTTAAATTAAGCTGCATTTTGTGTGGAGTCACTATTATTTAATCTCTGGTGATAGATAATGTTGGGAAAGATTGAGCAGAACAATGAGAATTCAAATATGCAATCAACTCATTCAATTTGAATTGTAGCTTTGTTGAGTGAGGCTAAGAACAAAATGGTAGAATTTAGGTATGTATGGTGCACGCACATGACAATGCATTTAGTTAAAAGTTGTGTGAATCACATTATCCATTGTGTATGTTTAGAGCAAAAAATTTGTTGTAGGATGGATGGGAATGTACAGTTGGTCATTTTCTTTGGTGGTCTCAACTCTCAATCAATATCTTTGTTTTTGAATTGTGAATTTTTTCTTTGTGTTCTATGAATTTTTCACGGTTGTATGCTGTTTTGTTCTGGAATGAGTTCTGTTTGCATTAACTGCCATTGGGATATTATTTCTTGGTCCAACTTCAAATTACTTGATGCAGGCAATGCAGGTCAAGGTTTTACTCCACATGTCATTGACGTGGCTGCTGGAGAGGTATAGTACTCATAAATATTGAAAACTTCTATAGTTATCCTTTATTAATGTGCTCATGTCAACTAGAAAATTTTTTAGGGAATCAATATTTATAGTTTTCTTTGCTGATCCTTATAGATTTGGTTTAATCTTATATTGTGAACTAAAGTGGACTATTTCATGTGACTCTTTTTAATCATCAAAGGATAACCTTATCTAGAGAAAAAATGAAATACTAGAGGACCAGCTGTACCCTGGTATCTACATAAGCAACTATTTTAGGTAAATTGGAAATAAGTTATCTTTCCTTTTGGCCAGTTAATAATGGTATAGTCTCATTACAGTTATACCTGAAGCTGAAAATGAAGGGGAAGTGTGGTTCATTGTATTATATTTTTATGAATAATTTCCTAGCAAATAATTATGCATTTAAAATTGTAGTATTTTGAATAAGAACTGAGATGCTTCAGAATGAGATAAAAAAAATTCTGAATTGGAGGAGTTAATGATTCCCCAATTTTGGAATCAATTAATAAGTTAAACATAAGAGTTGGTTGATTGATTCTTCACTTCTCTTTATTCTTTTCTTATATTTGAACTTCTCTTTTCAACTTGATGATGACAATGGCAGTTTTGGAAACTGAAACTAAGGGGTTCATGTGCAATATTGTATTTTGCATACATTTGGCTGCTATATGAAGAACCCTTTGTATATCTCTGATAGGAGAAGTGGAGCATTTCCTTGATGTATCATGGCAGTTTTAAGCATGAACCCGCTTTCAACTTCTTTTTTTAATCAATTAATTGGATTTCATTCTCATAGATCATTGAGTAGTGGGTAATCAAAATTTTTTTTCTAATATGGTTATGTTTTGGCATTGCCATGGAATAATCTCTTATGAGTCCGTGATTAAAGCTTACCGTCTTTTTTTTTTAAAAAAAAAAAAATGGGTGGGTGGGGGGGGGGGGGGGGGGGGGGAGAGGGGTTGTGAAGCATGTTGTGTAATCATGTAATAAGTCGGCTGAAACATTCTATGTTTTGTGCTATAAGTGATAGTGTAATTACACATCTTATAAAGTGAAGGCATCTTTCTGCTGTGTTTCTCTGCGAAATGGATTTGTAATGCAATGCTTTATTTATGAGTACATTATTACAATTTTTTGGTGGGCTTTGACTTGCAAAACTGTGATTGACAAACCATACAACCCTACCAGCTGGGGAACTGAAAGAAGACTGATGATAGTTGTTAGGCTTGTTGCTAAATATTCCAGTAACCTGTGTCAAAGTTGTGTGCCCTCTTGTTGCTTTTAATTATGACTATTAAGATAAAGAGGTTGAAAAGTTAATTTGTTAGTTTGCTAAATTGGAACAGTAGTTAGATGCAGGGATACCACTTAAACACGTTAGGTTTTTAATTAAGTTGTGAGAGGTTTACTTTTAGCTTGGCGTATAGTGTTAATCTGTTTTTCTTTTCATAAGAGATCATAGACCTTTAGTTGCTGAAAACATGATTTTAAGAAGACCTGGTCATGAAATAAAGGAAAGATTCGTAAAGCCTTTGGGCTTGGTCACATTAGCAAAACTACCTGTGTTGGAGTTGAAAATTTTTTTGGCCTTTTTTGCTTATCAGCTTTAAGTTGGAAGACTAATAGCTACTGCCACTTTTTATGCAACTGGATCTGGTTTGCATATCTTATATCAAGAAGAGTGGCCAGTGGGTAAATTGAAGAATTCAGTTTTCTTTTCTCTCTTTTTCCTTAAATTTTCCCATAAGAAAATCATTTTTGAAGCCTTAGTGTCCTACTTTTGAAATTTTATCATGGTATACCCGGTATTATCTTTAGCTATGGCTTCCATTCAATATTATGCGGTATGATTTGCCTTGTAAGACATTCTGATGCTTGTTTTATCTCATAAAAATTATGGAGTTCCTTATATGCATTGTAATGGATTTGGGATTTTATTGTATTTCATTCAGTTCTTGTCTTTTTCTTTTGGTTTGGGAAGACAAATGATGTTGATTTGCTATGGGCAAAAAAAAAGAAAAAAGAAAAAAAGAAAAAGGGATGTTGTATTTGTTTTCTTATTTTTGATGTGCTGTTGATAAACAGGGTTGGTTCACCATTCGCATTAAATCTCTCACTTTTCCAGTAACAACATGAGGAGAGTTTTCTTTTATATTTATTTCACCTCTTGGACATCATTTTCTAAGTGTTTGATTATATGAATGAGTTGGGCTAGATGGACTAATGGTTCTGATATATGAATTAGCTTAAAGTTTCTTTATTGCCTTGATGTTATATATGGATTTGTTTAATAGGATGTGTACCACAAAATTATGCTGTTCCTGCGACAAAGCAAGCGCGAAATATGTATCCTGTCTGCATCTGGTGCAATCTCTAATGCATCTCTTCGCCAGCCAGCAACATCTGGAAACATTTCATATGAGGTAAGTACATCTTCATCTTCATTCCTAATTTTCAAATATGAACTCTATTTTTGAAGGATCAAAAAGTATGTTTGACAACTTAAAGTATTGCCTTGTAAAACCTTGAATAATTTCTAGGTTTACAGGGAAATGTTTGGATTCTCATATAAAAATGTCTAGAATTTTGAAAAGGAAAAGTGCAAAATTTCTAAGGTAAAGGAGGCTGGCAGATTTTGATAGTAAGAAGAAATTTATTACAGGGCTCTAATGTGTAGAATACTAATTTCTTTTCTTCTTCTTCTTCTTCTTCTTCTTTTTTAAATTTTTTTTATAACAACTGAGTGGAATTTCAAATATATGGGAAGGCTGAATCCTAAGCCATCTAGGATA